TGCGGAGGCTCGATCAATCAATATCATGAATACATTCTTCGAAAAAAGATTAGAGCGGAAGTGGACATGGAAGTCGCCACCTGACATCAAAATCAAAATTGACTTCACAATTTCAAATAGGCGCTATATAATAAGGAAAAACAAAACGTGGAAGTCATCAAGAAAGTAAATGTTGGAAGCGACCATAGAATAGTCAGAGGCCAAATTAAATTACACCACAGAAGGGAAAGGATCAAAATCACGAAAACCGCAGCTAAATTTAGCTAACTTGAAAACCATAGCGACTTAATTTAGCCTAAACATCCAAAACAGATATTCACTTCTCAACGACGAAGATCTCAACACAGACCAAATCAACAAACAGTTCAATGACATAGTAAAGGAACCTGCACTTGAAATACGCGGTAAGAACGCCAAAGCTCCAGCAAGCTCTCGATAGAAACTAAGCAGCTTATGCAAAAACGTAGGGTCATGAAAGTATTCTCAAACAGGGACAAAATATAATTAGCTGAACAAAGAAGAGAGATGTACGGAAATTCAGTACACAAATAATAAATGAAACCGTGATCTCAGGTAGCATCATGAAAACAGCTAAAAGGAGACTCGGAATAGGGAGAAATCAAATGTGGGCAATTAAGAAACCAGGCGGAGAAGTGGCATATAATAAGAATGAAATCATAAGAGCAGTGGAAGACTTTACTTGGATCTATACAACTAAAATGAACAACCACGGATAGAAGCGAACGCGGTAACTAGAGATGTACCTAACATCACAACATAAGAAATAAAAAAGAGCGTGAAGAGAGGGAAAACACCAGGTGAAGACGGAATTAGTATAGACCTTATAATAGATGCAGGAGAAATTGCAACAGTGAAACTAGCCAATCGTTATAACAAATCTCACGGAAAAACTCCGAAAGCCTGGAAAAATACAATTATTTTGATACATAAAAAGGGATAGAAAGGATTTAAAAACTATCAACCCATAAGCCCTCATTTGGTTACTTACAAACTGTTCACAAGTCATCACAATTTTCATCTCTGACAGTCTGGATTCTAACCAGCCTTGAGAACAGGCAGGCATCCGCAGTAGATTCTCAACAACAGACCACATCCACACGTTCACCCAAATAAGAGAAAAAATAAACGAATATAGGAAACCCTGTGTATGGTATTCATCGATTACGAAAAGGCATTTGACTCTGTACAAATACCAGCAGTACTAGAAGCTATTCGAAGACAGGGAGTAGAGGAGGTATATTGTAAAATATTGGAAGATAAAATACCAATTAAAAAAGGTGTTGGACAGGGCGATACCATCTCACCAAAACTGTTTACAGCTTGCCTTGAGGATATATTCAAGAAGCTAGAATGGAACGGAACGGGCATTAAAAGAGGAGGCGAATACCTAAACAATGCAGATGATATTGTTTTTTTTCAGTGAATTTGTAAATGAAATGCTAGGTTGGAGCGCCTTCGGTAGACACAGTAGCATACATGCCATTATGTATTTAACCAATGCGTCCTCCAGGTTATGACCTATGGGTTAGAAACATGGACTACATCCAATTATTGTAGAGGAAACTAATAAGTGGCCAGAGAGGATGCAGAAGTTGATGCTGAGAATTAGAGATCGGATGAGGGCGACGTGGATCAGACAATGGAAGATATACTTGGGAGTACCAAAAAGAAAAAAATGGCAATGGGTAGGTCATACATGTCGGAGACAGGACGACAGATGGACAAAGAAAGTAACAGACTGGATTCTAGATAATATAAAGAGGCCAAGGGCTAGACCAGTGACAAGATGTCGTGACGAAATAACGAAATTTGGACCAAGAAACGCAAGACTGACAAAGTTGTAAAAGATTGGGAGAGGCCTACGTCCTGCAGTGATTCAGGCTGATGATGATGATTATGATGATATATATATATATATGTGTGTGTGTGTGTGTGTGTGTGTGTGTGTGTGTGTGTGTGTGTGTGTGTGTGTGTGTGTGTGTGTGTGTGTGTGTGTGTGTGATAAATATTCATACATATATATATATATATATATATATATATATATATATATATATATATATATATATAAATACATATATATTTATATTTATATAGATACATAAACATGGTGTGTGTGTGTATATATGTATGTATATATATATGTATATATATATATATATATATATATATATATATATATTATATATATATATATTTAACCCCTTGGTGCCGGGTATGACGTGTACGTACGTGCTATGCCCACAGTGAGTATTTGTTTGATTGTTTTTACGCATAGATGGCAACACTTGTACTAACTCCCCAATGAGCCACTTACGTGCACCGCCTGTCTCGCCCGTTTACCTTGATTTACAAAATATTTTACGTAATCTTATTTTGCTGTTACTAATGTTTAAAAAAATTATTAAAAATATAATGTTTATGATAAAAATAACACCATCGATTTTCATAGCACTAGTGAAAAATACGTTTTTCCCGC